TTCCATTTAGGAAAGTGCCCGCCTGCCTTTCATTCATTCAGGCACTTGGAGCACAGATGGGGAGAAAGTGAACGCTGCATGGGAGCCATAACCCAGCCATCCATAGCCGGGCTTGGGTTAGAGAAGGTCAGCGAGGTACGGTGGTGGCGTTCGGGTGAAGGACAAGATGTGGGGAGAAGACGAGGGTGAGCAGAGAGGGGCGAGAGAGAGAGAGAGGCACATACCTGGTTCGTTGTGGAAGTCTGCATGGTCTACATCTGCACGTACTTCGGGTCTGCTGCTGAGGTCTTCCGGCTGCGTCATCATTACAGTAGGATAGTATAGGAGCAGTGTGATTGTAGTCTGGGCGCTGATCACCAAGTAGGAGAAAAGACAGTGAACGCATTGTTCATGGTGGCGAGATAAGGGCTGTTGTTGACATGACAACTGAGTTCGTAGCTTTGGTATCCTCTGGTGTTATATTGGCGCATCTCTGCCTTCTGGACAGCTCACCTCTATGGTATCTGGGTTTCAAATTTCAATGTGACGTTCCAATTGCAATCAGACTCGCTTTCTTCTCACTTCGCATGCATACAAACAGATGGCATCCCACACTGGCGCTGGGCGCCCACACAAAGCTGAGAGGTATTCAAGTCGAAGACACAGTTCAGATACAAACTCGCTTCAATTCAACTACGGCGCCTGAGCGCTGACACATCCCTCTTCACCTCAACTGCTCACACGCACTTCACACTGGATCTCCCTGGATATCCCACGCACACTCACTCAGTACCATACACACACGCACTGAACCCTATCTCTAAGCTATGGCGGCTATGACTGCTCTACCACTACTGGCTATGGATGCTCTATCTCCTTTCAGCCCACTTCAACCTTGGGCCTCTGCAGACCACCTCGCACAAGACGCCTGAGCAGCGCTTCCACATGGCTCACGCAGGAATGAATGAATGGCTGGACGCTGCCTCTTGATTTATGCTTCCGTTGATCGCTGGTCTGCCCCTTTTCCAACGGGCCCTTGGTGCACACAGTCTCACATGGTACTTGCTGACTGGACTAAGTGAGACTGGGACTGGGTACCGCTGACTATGCAACGTTGGACTCACCACTTGCCCACTTGCCTCCGGTCTGCTGTGAGCAACGCTTAAAAGGCCACTTCCGCTTGCGGACTTGGCCTTTCAGAACTGCAGCAGCTACGACCTTGACCTTTCAGGACTGTAGCAGCTATGACCTTCACACAACTATGACCCCTATTCGACAGACCTACAGATTGAACCCCTACAGCTACACAGACCTACAACAGACAACAGTCAACTACCAAAACACAGGTNACAACTATGACCCCTATTCGACAGACCTACAGATTGAACCCCTACAGCTACACAGACCTACAACAGACAACAGTCAACTACCAAAACACAGGTCATGAGTTCAAACACACAGGGGTCGACTTGATACTGTACACGGGTAAGGTGAGGTCTAGGGGTCGAGGCCTGGGATCTGCATCTGTTACTGCAGAGGTGAAAACCGTTTCACTCCCGCCGGCCTAAATTCGAGGTCCTCCGAGAATACTTCAGTCCAAGGCAGGACATTTTCCTTTCCTATCTCTCTCATAGGCTCGAACTATGTCGGGAGCTGTCTCTAGAAGTTCTGTTCATGTGAACCAGCGGTCGTCTTCTGGTTCCCGAAAAGAGAATCTAACTTCATACTGTTTCTGTGGATGACCTCTACCTCCTGTTCTGAACACATCTTCACCTACTATGCGGTCAATGTCGTACCTTCCGTCCATGTCCGGAGGGATCATGGACCTTCGTGTTGGGAACTGTTGGCTTGTGGTACAAGGCAACAATTTTGACGCATGAAAAACTGGGTAGGTGTGGAGGTGTGCTGGAATATCGACTGTTTAGGACGGCCCATCCTCTCCGCCCTTGACTTCTAAAACTGTCCGTGGTCCTCTATACGCACAGTTTCTGCGAGATGTTTTCCTCGGGAGCAAACTCTTTTGACTTAACCCAGACTAAGTCGCCTACTTGGAACTGTGATGGGTGACGATGCTTATTGGCTTGCTCTATCATCCTATGCTGGGCCTTCCTGAGGTTCTCTACTACGGTAGCAATCTCTTTCTCATGCTGTATCGCGAACTCCCTAGTTCCGGGCGGTAGCCTTTGAATCTGATCCCGGTTGAGTTCCTCAAACCATCTACGCGGTCTAAAGGACTTATGCAATTCATTGGGAGTGCGACAAGTAGCTAAGTGCACGTTATTATCATATGTGCTGGCTACCTTCGTGAGCATCTCATCCCAGTTAACTTGGTCGGGCCTAATGTACATCCTCATAACCTGCTGCAGGACTTTGTTCATCTTCTCAGCCTGACCGTTGGTCTCTGGGTGACGGCCAGATGACATCAACAACTTAGATCCATACACTCTCATTAATTCCTGCGAGTTCTGACTAGTGAACCGGGTATCTTTGTCGCTAACTATAGACACCGGTAGCCCATGGTCACTGACCCAATGATCGAAGAACTTCTGTATCACTAAATTTGTACGTGCCTCAGAAGGCAAATGAACAAATACCGCATACTTTCTAAATCTATCAACTATAACCATGACTTGGCTCTTGCCATGCCTACTCTTGACCCCAACATCCATGAAGTCAATGGATACAAAATCTTCAGGTCCTACGGGAATAGGCAAGGGTCTGAGGAGACCGAGAGGGGCTCGCGTAGTGGTCTGATTCCGCTGGCACACTTTGCAATTGCGTACATACTCAATGTAGTCGGCCTTCACGTCAGGCCACGTATATGTGCGAACGAGGTTAGCCAACGTCTTTTGCCAACCAAAGTGTCCCTTTGTATCATGGCATTCCCCTAAGACCAAACTACGGATCTCTTCACCGTTGGGAACACACAAGCAGTCAACTACGTTAGTCTTCTCGAATAATAACCCATATGTAGTGCGGTAGTCTGGCTCAGACTCTGGAGACCCCGTAACTCTCATGAGGATATCACTATAAATAGGGTCTTGCGCGTAGGCTTCCTTAACCTTCTATTGCAGGTCTCGTCCTATATCCTGATAGTGAACTATCACTCCAAAGTAATCAGCCCTTCTACTTAGAGCATCCACGACTACATTATACTTCCCTTTAACTGGCTTGAGCTCAAAGTCGAACTGGTCTATCTCTGCAGCCCACCTAGTAAGCTTAGGTGTCATCTTGGCCTGCGTCTTCAGCCACCTCAACGTCTCATGGTTTGAATACACTTTGAAGCGCCTCCCTAACAAGTAGTGCTTCCAGTGGTTTAATGCTTGCCTGAGAGCGTAGAGTTCCCTCTCATAGGTTGATGTCGCTACCTTCTCTGAAGGCATCCTAGCAGACATGAACTCTACGGGTCTATACCCATTGCCATCATCTTGTTGTAGAACAACACCTATACCGTACTGACTTGCGTCAGTGGTGACAACAAAAGGTAATGATGGGTCGGCTACCTTGAGGATTGGGTACTCTATCAAGGCCCGCTTTAACTTCTTTAGGGCCGATGTACAATCTCTAGGCCCGCTTTAACTTCTTTAGCAACCTGCGAAGGGGAGCAGCAATGGTAGAAAAAATTCTGACGAACTTTCTGTAGTAATTGGCCAATCCTAAGAACGACCGCAACTCTGTCAATGCGTGGGGAGTCGGCCAGTCTCTAATCGCTGTTATTTTATTGTCCTCAGGTTTTATGCCATCACCATCTAAAAGGTGGCCCAAGTACAGGACTTGCGTCTTGGCCTACTCGCACTTCTTCGTGTTGATCTTGAAGTTAGCTTCCCTCAGCTTCTCCAACACCTGCCTCAGATGGTCCTCATGTTCCTGGAGGGTCTTACTAAAGACTAGGATATCATCTAGGTACACTATCACGAATCTATCTAACCATGGCCTAAACAAATCATTCATAGAGCGCTGGAATGTAGCTGGCGTGTTGGTTAGTCCAAAGGGCATTACTATAAACTCATAATGCCCATATCTGGTCTTGAACGGCGTCTTGTGCTGATCATCGGGATGAACCTCTATCTGATGATAGTCTGACTTCAAGTCTATCTTAGAGAAGTATTTGCAGCCCTGCACCCGATCTAACAGATCATCTATACGGGGCAGTGGTTCTGCATTCTTCACTGTGATGGCGTTAAGAGGAACTTAAGACCCCTATAGTCAATACACATTCTTAACTCTCCCTCCTTCTTGGGGACAAAGAGAACAAGCGCTCCAAAAGGAAACGAATTGGGCCTAATCCAACCATTTTCGAGGAGCTCGTCTAACTGCTTGTGCACCTCCTCTAACTCCCTTGGGGACATTCTGTAGATAGCTCCCTTAGGAGTTCTACTGCCAGGCTCTATCTCAATACGATGCTGGATGGGCCGCTGCACTACTCCTGTAGGCGGCTTAGCTAAGTTTGTATACTCTTCCAACAGCTTGGCAATAACTGGGTCAATGGGTTTCTCTTCCTTAGGCTCAGTGACAAGCCTAACATAGGCTACAGAAACATGTTCTTCTAGTTGCTCCTTTCTCACCAGTCGCGCGAACGCGGGAGCACTGAGGCAGCAATGTGCTAAGGTGTTGTCTACCCCTAACACATGAAACAGGCAGGCAATCTTAACTTCGCCTGATGGGCTAGGGAGTCTACACTCGTGCTCTCTCAAATGGAGTGTGGCCCCTGCTGCCTCTCCCCGGTCCTTTCCTAGGACCATGTCAAATGGGAGGCTATCTTCTACGAGGAGAGTCAGGGAATGGAGAACTCTCTCTACCTTCCCATCCTTCTCTAGGCGAAAGTACGCCTGGACTGCCTCTACATATTCCTCGGCTCGCATAGTACGATTGTCTGCGAGGATGTTGACTATAGGGTCTTCTAACTTCTGGACCTTTAGATTCAGCTTTAACTTATGCAGCGCTTTCCTACTAATATAGCTGCGAGTTGCCCCACTGTCTATAAGGGCCCCTACTCTGCCTCTAAAACTTCTACATCTACTAAGACTAGTTAACCTTTACTATCCTTCTTCATCTTGGCCCAGGCAGGCATCCTCTCCTTCAATTTTTCTGCCACGCCTATGAATGAAGTGCCTACAGAGACCCTAACACAAGCAGTCTCTGGACAACTTTCTAGGCACTGGCCAGCAACCTCTGCCATAGACACATGTGGGTTGGGAGTTTCTCTGTGGTGCGTACGCTCTTCTCCACATGGTCTAGGGGTAAGGGCAGTTGCGACCCCTACCGGCGGTTGCCTTTTGCTGCATGTGCAGCATACCGGGCCTCTCTATATTTAGGGCAATATTTAATAATGTGCCCCGGATCACCGCAATAAATGCACTGATCCTGGTTTATCCTCTTCTACCATACTTTCTGATTCAGGCCCAGATCTTCCCAGGGTCTGCCTTGTGGCCAGCCAGGGTGCCATCCACCCTCCTGGGAGGTGATCGACTGGAACGCGGAAGATTTGACGGGGAACCTTGACCCCTACCTCCCTATTGGCGGTTTCCTTTGCCGCCAACCCCCTGAGCGCCCTGTCCTCGACCACAAGAGGCTCGGCCCCCTTGGCCTCGACCTCCTCCTCTTTCAATCGGCCTCCTTCCAGCCGCGACGGCAGCGTAAGTCCTCCCCTGGCTCACACTACTGTCATCCTCTTCAAGGCCCCACTCTATCTGACTATAAGGGACCTCCTCCATACCACCCTCATCCAATGTAAGGATCAGGTGATCCTTTCCCTTTACCTGACCCGAGATGGTACGACCCTTCCACTTTTTTCCCTTTTCAAGGTCCTTATGCCAGAAAGTGGAAACTGGCATGGATTGAGCTTCGAAAGCTACCACCTCCCTACTGAGGGTATCATACTCCTTACTCTTTTCAAAGAAGTGCCCGCGCAAAGGCTCGAGCATGGCACGATAGAATAGGTTGACCAATTGGGTCTCAGTGACCCCATGGTCAGGGACAACAATCAACTCATCTATAACACTCTTGAGTGCCCTAGCACTCCTCCATTGGCGGGAATGGATGGTCTGCAGTTTGTCAGAGGCTCTAACACTCCGTGTGACGTCTGCGAACCTCTCATGTAATAATTTAAAGAAATCACTTGAGTGAGTGATCAGGGAATATGCGACCATATCATTCTCGCATTTAGCAGCGCGGGCAAGTGACCTGGCAAAGCTAGCTGCTTCATCTCTAAGGGCATGGAAGGCAATGAGGACATGTTCCTCATGGGCTATCTTCTGGAGGTGAACATAAGAGTCCACATTTGCCTCCCAGTTATCGAAGTTCTCCTCCTTTTTCCCTCTGTAGGAGTCGGGAAACTTCACCTTAACTGGCTCTCTAGGGGGGCGAACTTCCCCTTCCCTTGGAGCAGCAAGTTTGGCGCCTTCTATGGCGCCTGTACATAATTGCTCCGTGTTCTCTAACCTTGCCTTCATTTTTAAGTCGTGCATCATCATCTCGCAGGCGAATTTTCTAAACCCCAACCATATTGATCGCAAAGCTACATCCTGACTTCTGGCGAATTGGAACTGCTCTTCATGAGCATGTGCTAGGAGTTCAATATTTCTCACCATAATCTCCATCTTCCCCGACCAATCCGCTTGCACCTCCATCTGCACTCTCTGCTGTTTCACCCCCTCCAATTCTTTCACCACCTTACTTGCCACCTCCAACCTTTGCTTCTTTTCACTGGTCAGACGCAACTTCCATTCTAACTTCTTCTCCTCTTCTATCATCTGACCTTTGAGGGGGTCTTCTTCGACTTCCAACTCCTTTATGACCACCTCCTGTTTTGTCCTGGAGACATATAACATCGCCTCCTCCTCTTCACCCAGGGACAAATTTGCGACCCACTATGAAATCTTCTTCTCCATCCATGGGTCCTCCTTCTTCGTGCCACTGGTCTCTCCTCTCTCTCTTGTGACCGTTCTAATCAAGCAAACTTCTTCCTCTACTTCCTCCTCCACTTCTTCTTCTTCTACTGCCTTTAACTTTTCTTCTTCTTCTCTTTGCAGCTTCTCCATCTCCTCCTGCAACTTCTTTTTCTTCGTCGCCTGCTCCTCCAGTAAGGCCAACTTCTTGGCCTGCTTAATCAACTCCTTCTTGGCCTCCTTCTCTCTTCTCTCTTTCAGTACGGCAGCAACTTGCTTTTCTTGAGCCTTAGTGTATGGAGTGGTACTCTTACCGCTACGCGTGTCAACCATGGTAAAAGATGCACAACCGAAGGTCAGTTCCACTCCCCACCACTTAGACTTCCCCCCCCTAACTGACATTAACTGACTGACAAACTCTCTAAGGACCACATAGCCTTACCCTTTGATCCAGCCAGGTTACCACAACCGACGGAAGCTTTCGCCACCACTGCCCTTTACAATCCAGACCCAGATGCCCTGCACCTGCGGTCAATCCCTCCTGGCTTTCACTCCGGTTCAGGACTCTGTCAACTAGGGTCTCTAGCCTAGACCTATTACTAAGCTGTCACTACAGGACTTCAGCGCTGATCAGGAGGCATTTAAGGAGATCCCCCATAACTCCTCAGGAATTTGTTAACGTCGCAAACAGGACGACGCGATCAGCAAGTCCTCTCAATACTTAGACAGCTTGTTGTGCAGCCCACAACTCGGATTTTGGGCCTACCATGCCACACTGAGCAGCCCGCCAGTCTGTACCGGTCCTTGGGAGGGTTTGTCCTCCGGGTCAGTCAGTCGTCAGACACGGCCTTTAGCCCTACTCAGCCCATGTGGGTTTGGTCAACAAAGCTCTACGACCTCATACATAGAGTTCCTATCACCTGGACAGAAGAGACTTGATGCAGAAAGAAGAGACAGACAGACTTAGCAAGTACCATGGGGTGAGTGCACATCCATAGGGCGAGGAGATAGGCTGAAGGCTTGGCAAGAGTATACCAACTCCAGCTTGGTCAATTTCGTGGTCAACAGCTCCGGTCAACGCCCTGGTCAACACCTCAATCAGCACTGGTCAACGTCCCGATCAACTCCTCAGTCAACGCTGGTCAACATCCTGGTCAACTCCTCGGTCAACGCTGGTAAACGACCTGGTCAACGCTGGTAAACACCCGGTCAACGTTGGTAAACACCCCGGTCAACGTTGAGAAATGCCTTGGTCAATGTTGGATATGGCTGTCAACCCTTTCTCGCTCACCTTCTTTCACCTTCCTCCTTCGTCCTCCTCCTTCACCCTTGGCTATGGCTTCTTTCTTATCCCACCCCCGGCTATGGTTTCTCTTTCCCCTTTCTTCGTCTCTTCTCTCCTCCTCAACTATGTCTTCTTTCTCCTTCGTTTAATCCGTGTCCGAGCTCGGCGGCTATGGCCGCCACTTCCTTCCTTGGACCGCACTACAATCTTGTATCGCTCCTCTCTCTCTCTCTCTCTCTCTCTCTCTCTCTCTCTCTCTCTCTCTCTCTCTCTCTCTCTCTCTCTCTCTCTCTCTCT